GTACCTCATCTTGACACGTACCACAGTAATTTGAGAAAAATCATTATTTCACAGAAAACATCAAAAATCAAGTCCATCTTCACAAATGCACCATCTAGTAGCATTATTTCATCATGGTCTGCTCTTAAAACGTATTACAACAAAAAACTTTTCTATCCATGCAATCACTCATTATTAAGTTTTATCACTTAATCAAATCATCAAGTAATCAATAAAAGGTCATAATTAACTATGTAGCATACAAAAGTATCTTGTTCAACCATGGTAATTTAAAAAAATCAACATAATGTCCCATAATACTGTAAATAAACTGTAATTGTTAATATTTAACCCACCCCATTAGCACCCCATAATTAGTCAGTCCATCAATCACCTTATATCACAAAATATTATGAGAAGACCTGTCACCCAATTAATACTGAGTTCAACATTCAAATCAACCACATTTCTAAAGTACACATCTGTACTTGTTAAAATCTATCCACAACTCAACCTTGAGGGAGTGGTGGTGCAGAAGTTATAGAAGGTGGGCCTGTGATTGGAAGATCGCCGGTTCAAGCCCCGGTACCAACAACATCAAAAATGTGGGTGAGGTAGGTGAAGCACCCACACCTGCCCCCACCCTCATTTGCCCCACTCTGGGCCCATGAGCAAGACCCTTAACCCCCATTTTCTCCCTAAACAAGTCTCTCTTGAAAATGAGTTCTCGTGGCTCAGTGAGAATAACTGTATAATTAAAGGGTAAATGAAAAACTAGAAAGTTCCTGGAGAAACTTTGACAGAGGCTGCCAGGCTGGTTCCGATTAAAAAGCTTATTTGACAGTAATATGTGTTTTGGATCATCTAAAGCTACCACTATACTAAGTTTCAGCTAAATATATCCAAAAATGACCGAGTTATAGTCAATTTTGTGTTTACTGAGGTAACTGTGGCAGCCATCTTGAATCAAAATCGCTCCAAACGTTCATCAGCTCTAGAGATATGTCTGATGATTACTTTCTGCAAGTTTCAAACAAATCCAACAACGAGTTTCTATTTTGTAGTTCAATAACTCAAAGAATGACTGCATTATAGTCAATTTTGTGTTTAATGAGGTAACTGTGGCAGCCATCTTGAATCAAAATGGCTCCAAATGTTAATCAGCTCTAGAGATACGTCTGATGATTACTTTCTGCAAGTTTCAAACAAATCCAACAATGGATTTCTGTTTTGTAGTTCAATATCTCAAAGAAAGACTGAGTTAGTCAATTTTATGTATGCTGAGGTAGCTATGGCAGCCATCTTGAATCAAAATGGCAGGTTATATTTCTGATGCAATTGCAAGGCAATGCAGGCTAATTAGCTACCTTAGGCTAATTAGCTACCTTAGGACTCTTAGGATAATTAACATGCAATGCACTGCCTTGCATGTTGAAAAAAAACGTTACTCAGTTTCTTTGAAAAGTCTTCTCCCATTCATTTCCTATGGGAAATTTGGCATTTTTGTTAGCAAAATATGTCGCCATGGTAACTCCAATTGCCAAAAAAAGTAATAGCACACATCTCAGAGCTGGGCCGGTCGTTTTGATATAACTTTTGTGGGGGTACACGTTACGGTTCGGGCCGCATTAATGGAGATGGAATAATAATTAATTAATTAATTAATTAATTAATTAATTAATAAATAAATAAATAAATAAATAAATAAATAAATAAATAAATAAATAAATAAATAAATAAAGAAAGAAAGAAAGAAAGAAAGAAAGATTTTTTGATTTTTAACAACACATTTATTATCCATTAAACAAGACATTTATACAAACTCAACAATCAACTAAACAAAGAATCGAAAAACAGCTTCCCA